GCTGCTACCACAGCCATGGCCATGCCCCAAGGTGTGACGCTGGCGCGTGAGCTCCCAGCCCCAAAATCCAAACCCCGCCCGGCTCCTTCCCCGGAACACAGGAATTTGCCCTTTTTTTATCTGCAAGACCTTGCAAGCACCGGCTTGGGGCCTTGTGTAGATTTTTTGCAGGAGGCACAGTCCTCCTCGGCCCCGGGGCCGGCACGGGCAATGCCGTAGCCCAGGAGAGGGCTTGGAGGGTGCCAGACCCCCAGGCGTGAATCAGGGTTGTCACCAGCTTTAACATCCCCAGCAAATGAGCTACTTCATGTCAACATCTTTATTTCTTTATTTCGTAACGAGACAACTTCATTTCTGCGGGTTGCTCGAGCAGCGCGCGGCATCTGATTATTAAAAATGCTGCTGGCAGCCAGCCTGCAACCTACTTAGGCTTTAATCTTCCCTGACAGATGCTGACAAGGAATCTCTCCGGCAGCCGGGACCGGCTCCCCTGCCCAACGCGCTTCATCCCTTAAAAGCTGGGTATTATCCCTATTACCTCTGGCAGGAGCCGGTGGCCGATGCCACGTCTCCATGCGGAGCCGGGCGAGCGGCAGGACGGACAGCCCGCGCGGGAGCTGCTGCTGGCACCGGGCAGCGTTTCTGAGTCACAGCGCCGTGGGTTTTCTCTTTTTTTCCTTGCGCAGAAATAGGCAGAGTCATGTCAATTTGAACATTTCATGAATTCCTGTTTTGTTCATCACATTTTTTAGGAATGAAAAAAAAAAAACAACCTTGTTTTTTCCCCGAGTCAGACACTTTCACACTGGTTGTCTCAGGAGGATTTGACACTTTTTCTGTGCTGACATTTCCCCACCAAATGTAGCCCAGCACCATTTAAAGAAGTAAATCAGGCTCCGAAACGAAACATTTCACCCGATCCAGTTACCCTTTTCTCATAGCAAGCCCAAGTGTACTTTCTGTATCTCTGCTTCCCCCAGAAGAAACTCCTTTCCTGATGGTTTTTTCTTGGCTTACGGTCTGGAGAAACCCATTCTGGTTGCTGCTCGCCTGTCAGCTCCCGGTGCTTATATTCGGGACACAAATACAATAGATGAGCAACCAAGCAATCACCCAGACAAGACAAAAATACACATTTCTGATGGTCGCTGGGACTGTTGAAATACTTGAGACCCTCAGCAGTTTGAATCAGCCAGTGACAGAGGCAGAGGAAAACCTGAGGAATGTTATCCCGGCGTTTCAGCGGAGCTGTGACACCCCCGGCGCAGGAGCC